AGGAAATCTGAAGGAAGGGGCAGATTATTTTCGGCTGTGTACTTTCAAATTCTAGCGTACTCGAGCTGGTTTCTCCATTCTTACCTACCCTACCTTTAATGTACCTCGTATTTTTACTAACAAAACTATCCTTTGCCTTTAAGTAGAAGACCAAGAACTAGAGTAGGCCAGTTAAAATGGTTCACTCTGCTCTCATCTCCGTCTGCTTTCTCATTCCTTCCTCTCACGAGGCAGTCTTATGATTTCGCCACACAGCAAGATACGAGTTCCACAGCTAATGAAAGATCAGTTCCCATCTAAATCCATCTACATTTAGTCATTGCCCTTATCCATGTACACTCTCAGCTGATCAGTATCGTCTGTGTGTTAAAGTCACCAGTCACAGTTGAGGTGTTTCTAATAATGTCACAAAGAGATACTTTTCTGCTGATTCATGCTGCTCCTGGCAGACGCTACTTTTCCTTTCCGCTTCCTACACTCTGTCCTGATGTGCATCTCCACTAGCTCAGCCTCCTCGTGTTTCTTATCATACTTGCACTGAGTTTTGTTCATAACTTGCAACAAGTTATTCTTACTGTATCTCCTTTTTACACAAAGCCTTACCTCTGATAGGGGATAACATTTGACATTTGTGTGCAAAGATCTGACTGTCCCTGTTCACTTAAGACGAGGATGGAAAGTATAAGTCTCTACTCATCCATTAAATGAAACAGGACTTCGCTTGGACATGGCAGACAGTGGGGATGTCCATGTTTATCTTTATCTCCTATGATTATGTATTTGTTCACAAACCCTTTTCAGTTTTTTCAAATATCGAATAGTCAGTTCTCCCTGCACTTTACTGCGAGTGCATTATGTGACTTTAGGTTAATTTTGTCTCCATGATCCCACTTCTGTTTGCAGTGTTAATCTGACTAATAAGTAAGAGCTGCCATTCTAGTGACAAGATGATGATCCCTCACTGGCTTGCAACTTACAAACCCCGCCACACTGAACCCGTAATGCTAGAAGTTCTGCTGCTCCATATGAACCTCTGTGGTAGGCTAATGCCACATGTGGCCCAGCAAAGTTTTTATATTTACAGTTACTACTAACTATGGCATAACATTTGGTTACAAATGTGGGTTAATCAACACTTTTTGGGCTTGAAACTTCACTTTGGACATAACACAACAGTTTTGGCAAAACAAACGTTTGACCCCACCTCTGGATTATGATAATCCTGTAGACATTTTCTTGAATAGAAACCTGTCATAATAAAGCCAGGCCAGGTCATACAACGTGTTTTGATTAATATGCATCAATGGAAAACATGACAGTGTCCAGAATGCCCCAAAACAACTATGACAAAACATAAATTGTGGGGATGACAATCCCATCGTCATCAATCATCAAAAGATTTCCAAAACCTTCTGACAATTCAACTTTATGTTAAAAAGGTTAAGGGTTATCCCTATTGAGCAACTGCGAGAACCTGTATTGCAGCATTTGTGATGTGTGCAGCCTTCCTGGGGCTTTCCCCTCCGGCTGACTAACTGTGACGTACACGTGGGTGTGCGTCTGTGTGAGTGTAGTGGCAGGAGGGGGGTGGGTGGGAGAGACAGACAGCTGTGCAGGCCAGATCTGTAGCTAACAGTAGGAAGCATTCACACTACACATTCTGCTGCAGTGTGTCACCAGACAGTCTTTCTCTTTCCCTCTTGCTGCTGCTTCCCACTCTTTTCCCTTCACTTTTCTCATCTTCCTGTTTCTCCCTATCCCATACACACACTTACATATGTGACTGTGGATGTGCATTTACACACACACACACACACACACACACGCACACACACACACACACACACACACTTCTCTCTCTCTTTCCCCTCCCCCAGCTACAGACTCCCCCTTTCCCTTCCTTCATCCCTCCCCAAAGTTTCCCGCTATAGTAAATGAAGTAGTATCTCTTTGACTGCTACCACTATTTCCTCCTTCCTTCTGTGGAACTGTGCTCATTCCTGGATTACACCTCACCCACACATGTACAAATACTCTTCCTTCTTCTGAAAAAAAATAGGAAAACCAAGAAAAAGTTGCTTCAACGACAGAGTAAAGCTGTTCTCGCCTCTCCCAGACGGGGTGTGTCAAGGCTTTTGTCTGTCTGATGCCGTATTAAATATCAGAGTTAAAAGGAGGGCTGGGGGGGGGGGTCTGTGTGCGTGTGCATGTATGTGCAAAGGTCTTCAGGTTTTTTGTTCTTTAGTGAGAAAGAATGTTGGCACGAAGCTTGCCACCAGGGGAGGAGAAGAAGGTCTGAGTGCTCAAGTGCTGCTCCAGGTTTGTTTCATTTCATTTGCTCTGTAATGAGTCTTGTTACTGCTGTAAGAGGCAGAGAGATCTGACTGGGGAGTTCAAAGTTAAGCCACAGGGAGGGAGGAAAGGAGGGAGGAAGGGAGGGAGAGGAAAAGAGAAGCATGGAAGAGAAAGAAAAGAAAAACCTACTAGCCCTCACTTGAAAACTTCTGAACATTTTGGAGACAAGAAGTGCGACAAAGAGAAACTTTTTTACTCCTTAATTTCTCCTTTCTTTCTCTTCCTGCTCCTCCTCCTCCTCACTGCCCCACACCCTTCTCAAATGAAAACTCTCGCTCAGAGCTCTGCACATAAACTGAAGCAGAGAAGCTCGCAAGAGGTCTGAAAAAGTTGGCTGTGCCTGTGCATGACTGTGCGTCTGTGTGTCTGCTGGAGTGCGTGTGCGCCTATCAGAGTGTGTGTGTGTGTGTGTGTGTGTGTGTGTGTGTGTGTGTGTGTGTGTGTGTGTGTGTGTGTGTGTGTGTGTGTGTGTGTGTGTGTGTGTGTGTGTGTGTGTGTGTGTGTGTGTGTGTGTGTGTGTGTGTGTGTGTGTGTGTGTGTGTGTGTGTGTGTGTGTGTGTGTGTGTGTGTGTGTGTGTGTGTGTGTGTGTGTGTGTGTGTGTGTGTGTGTGTGTCTAGGTCTGTGTGGGAATGATTACATCAGCCTGCTGCTGCCTTATGATTGGTTGGTGAGCGTGTGGTTTGATTCAGTGTGCCTCGGAGCCCGTGGCTGAGGCTGTAACCCTTTGTGAGGGGGAGAGAGAGAGAGAGAGAGAGAGGGAGGGAGAGGGAGAGAGAAAAAGAAAGATAGTTGTCATACTCAACCGGCACTGGAAGCACTGTACTGTACCTGCTGCCATCCAATCACTGACTGTCTCTGTGTCTGTCTTGTGAGCTGCAGCTTTAGGTCACACAGACAGTTTATTTTTTTTTGGAAAGACAGAGCCGGCGGCCTACATAGACTGAAGGACTGTCTGCAGGCTATGTGACAGGTAGCACAACTGTCAACTGTCGCCACTGTATCTCTGGAGGACACAGGGCTACACAACTGAACGGATTTTGTCTTAGTGACTGTGAGTGTGACTGTGTGTATATGTGTGTGTGTGTGTGGGGAGCCAGGCTCACTCCAAAAATGCCTTCGTGTTCCCCGGACTGCTGCCTATTGCGGGCCGAGGTAAGACCGCTCTCTTTCTGTGTCTCTTATCTCTCCCTGTGTGTCTCTGCCTTTCCTTGCCTCCTTCTCTCTTTCCATTTCTCTTTGAAGTACTACCAGGGGCGAGACATGGAATGTGTAAATACATTAAAGGCTGAAGACAATTTGTCTTTTTTCAAGATGTGAGCAGAGCAGTTTAAATAAGGCGTCAAATAGGACAGCGGTTTTGAATGATTGAGGCTCCTTTGCCTTTCTTCTTGAACATGTTGGACATGTTAGGAGCCTCAGGCCTGGTTTGTACAAACTGTGAGGCTACAGACTTCTTCTTTGCCCTCCAAGGGAACAGAATTTCTTTGTAATGTCATATATTATGTGGGAAGTAGTGTGCATACATGACATGCGTAGGATTAGTAGGCTGGATTCCTGTGTAGGCTAACAAGGCTGGATTTATCTGCAGGTTAGGGAGGCTGTTTGTGTTGTCTGTGGGACATGGGATTATATGGTTATCTTTTGAAAAGCAAAGATAAGGAAATTAAGGAATATTTACCACTTTAAATGTGTTATGGGAAATATAATTCCTTGATGCTTTGTTGATCTCCAACAAGTCAAGGCTTCCAGTATATAAAAGAATATATCTGGATGTAAATTGATGTCTCTTACACGGATGAGATCTTAGAGTGTAACCTACTCCGAGCCTGATGCACTGTTGCTATACAGTTTATCAGTGTACAGGTCAGTAGTGGCTAAATATGTATCTGAGTATGTATTGAGTCAGTATTATTAATGTAAACTGAAATACAAATGATTGTAATTCCTGGATTGGATTAATACTGGCTCAAAACATATACCTGTGTCTATGAAGTTGGAAGAAAGAAACACTTTTTCAATAAGCTATAATTAGAAGCACCATGCTAACTTCCTCTTAAGCTACAGTACAGTATCCATTCAGTGTATACTGCCCCTCTTTGTGTTCACAAGGGCAGACGCTTGTTATGCACTGCACTTTATTTGCTTCTATATTACACCAACAAGTTGCTATAAGAACTGCTTGTCTGTGATTTCTAACACCACAATTGCTACATAGTTTTGAATGTCTGTTCTTTTCTATTGTGTGCTATAATTACAGGCCTGTGTATTCTATATTGTATGGGACGCTATATGATAAATACTGTGCTAGTGTTTGAAGAAAATTGCTGGCTTCACCCACCTATTAGGCCGAGTGTTCAAAAAATGGTTTGTGTTAAATGACTTTATCACGAGTTCCTTCTGGGGTTACCATAAAAATGTAAATTCAAACCATCTCATGCTAAATGTATCCTTGACAGATGTAACAGTTTATTAATCTTAAGCTTAATTTCCCTCACATCAAGGACATCCTTATAACTGGTTTGACAGCATTTTTGTCCTTTTTTAAGATTTCATTTTTGAAACACTTCCGTCTCTAGTTTACCAGACTTCCTTGAAATGATCCCTCTTAATGTAAGTTAACTCAAATTATATTTTCTCCTCCTAGATTGTGAAGATCTTCAGTGAAGACGGCATGGGTAAAGTGGTGGAGATCCCAGCGGACATGACAGCCAGGGACCTGTGCCAGCTCCTGGTTTATAAAAGCCATTGTGTGGACGACAACAGTTGGGCACTTGTTGAACACCACCCGCTGCTAGGACTAGGTAAGGGGCAGAGCCCTGCTGGCTCAAATACACACACACACACACACACACACACACACACACACACACACACACACACACACACACACACACACACACACACACACACACACACACACACACACACACACACACACACACACACACACACACAGAACATGGACAAACTCTCACAAACCCACACAGAACATCATGGATTTTTGGGTGGGCTGAGACATGCAATACAATCACTGACTTACACAGGTGCATTCACATAAATGTATGCATGAATGCATGTCTGCATACTTGGGCAGACAGGCGCATATTCTCACGCAGGCATGTTTTCAAGCATGAGTGCATGCACATGCTTTACAGAAAATGCACAGAGCCATAATGTCCAGTGATCTAATCATGTCTAACACAATGGCTGTGTAAAAGGTCAATGGAGTAGTGCAGTATTAAGCATACGAGGAAGGGAAACTGTTTCCTGTGAAAAACCCGAGACAAATATTGAGCTGCTTAATATTTAGGAGAACATTTTAGTTGAGTAAAGTGAATATGACGTGTTTAGTTGAGTGTTGCCTATCCTGTCTCTGGCTCCGGTGTATAATATGCTTGAAGCAGCATGAACAATTATGTTAATTAAAGATCTATTTCCAAAAGTTATTGCTCTGGCATAATTTCCATACGTGGAGAAAGCCTTTCCTACAGAGGTGGGAGAAGTACTCAGACTGTGTACTTAAGTAAAAGAAGAAGTACCAGAGTGTAGGACTACAATAAATGTAGTGGACTAAAAGTACATGATTTACCGCTGAGTTGTAGTGGAGTAGAAGTAAAAAGTACCAAAACATTGAAATACTCAAGTAAAGGTAATCATTTAGTGACCATCAACTGGCGGCCCGCGGGCCACATCCGGCCCGCCAGACATTCTCATCCGGCCCGCATGACAGGGGTGACTGTGGCGTTAGTGCGTTCGCAGCAGCTGCGGGACAGTAGCCTGCGTACTGCGTAGCCTTCCCTGCCCTGAAGTGATCCTTCGTTGTGAAGAGTATGCTTTATGCGCTCCGCAGCAGTAGCCCCGCTACGACAGAGTCCAACAGAGAGGCAGGAGCTGCGGGACAGTAGCCTCGAAGTGAGTCTGCTAAGCTTTATGCGCTCCGCAGTACCTGAGCGTGCTCCACTAGCCCCCCCCCCCCCCCCCCCCCCCTGGTCAACAACTTCAAAATTATGGGCTATATAAAAATCGCTGGCCTGCGAAAGTGTCTATTGGATAAATGTTGGCCCTTGGACAAATGTAGTTGGTGATCCCTGGATCATTACTGATACAACGATGCGACTGATGAACATAGTATCAAACCTTTGGCTGACTTGTGCCTCTCTCAGTGTCAGAGTTGGTGTAATGCTATCGATCCAGTTCTATAAATGACACTGCAGAGAGGTGATGGAAAAGATTGATGGAGAGTTTAAAAGGCCATGTTTCAAGTTAAAGTTTCTTCAGACCAAGAGCAACAATCACCACTCTCCTTAAAATAGAAGCCCTCAGTGCATCAGACACAGACCTCATGACTAATGCAGCATAATAAGGTCAAAGCCATGATACTCAGGAATGAGGAACCATATTCTATGCAGAACATTTCATTTGATTATACAGATTTAGTTGTTGCATTTTAGTTGGCCTGACATTAGCACTGGGTAGAATGTTACACAGTAGATTATTCATGGATTCAGGAATACTGTTTGATATTTGAGAAAGTGGAGGCACTAACTGAGCTTGGTGTCTTTGTACCAATTTGTAAGGAAAAGTAGTCTTAAAAACCCTTGATCAATCCCTAGTGTAGAGCATCTTTTTATGTGTTGCTTCATTACCACGGAAGAGTGTTTTGCGTTTCTGTCGGGCTGATTTTGTGTTAGACTTGGCAGTATAACTGTACGTTGGAAAAGCTGTGGTCAGCTGAACGTTAGAAAACCCAACCTCCCCCTGAGGAGAGGGCGATTATAAAGCACTTATGGAAGACAAGTTGAGCCTGTGCTCATGTCTTTACAGTTTAACAGATGTGGGAGAGGAGGGGGTGTAGCTTTATTTAGAGCAGTTTTCCTGTTACTGTACATGCTGTAGGAAGAGACATGGTGGAAAAAAGTGGAATTCTGCTGTCACGACTAACAGAGTTTTCTTGCCTGATGTGCTGTCACCTCAGGAAACTTTTTGAAAATATATTTGCATTATTCAAAGTGCAGGTCCTAACACTCTCGCCTAATATTTCACCATCCATCATGATCTGATTACATTTCTCATCAATGCTGCCAAAAGGATGCTGCCAAACACAGTTACCTGGGCTTGTTGTAAATGACATCACTTTTGGCTCAGAGTAATCTTATTCTATTATAGCCCTCCTTCTATTCCGGCGCACCTGCTCTGCACCCGTATTCTTGCCATATTTTATGTTCAGGAGTTTCAGAAGATGGGATGTGATAAAGCAACAGTGTGCTGACTGTTCAATTTCAAAAGGTTATCCATTTGCATTGAGTTTGTGTCCACAACAAAATTATGAAAAACTTCAAAAAATGGTGCTCATTTCACAATTTGTAGTATCTTTGTAAATGTCAAGTTCTATTTAATGGTATATGTTACTCCTTTGTGCATTGAATGCATTGTATGGCATATTATTTACCATTCTAAGATATTCCAAGTTACTTTAACTGTGGTTGTTGCATTGTGGTTAACCTATTTATTTGTATAGTACTGATGTTTTTATTCTAGTAGTGTGTATACTGTACAGTATGTTCACGGAGCCACCTAAAAGATAACAGTTGTCGTAAATTAAATGAATCTTCTGAATCATAGTTGATCAACAAACTGTATCTGCTGACATGCTGTATCTTCTCAAATATATTTGTATAGTTATGCAGTTTGTGAAAGTACTGCTTGTGTATGTGCATGATCCTACGTGTGTGCAGACTGTACGTCTGCACTGCACATACATGTTATGTGATCCTTCATGTGTGCACATGTGGTTGGGTGGTAGACGAGAATAGAAGTTTCAGAGAGACCCGAACAATAGCGTGTTTGAATAGAGAAGCCTATTCCCGTACATCGCTGCCCACTCACTGCTGAATGGGATGAAATGGCCCTTTGAGATAAGCAACACTGACCTCCACTTGTCAACCCCAAAAAGGTTAACAGCTCTGGGACAGTGAGGTAGTGTTGCCAGGGTGAGTCACTGTCACGAGCACGAGTGACTCATCAGACAGGCGACAAGATGAAACGGAGAGAAAGAGAAGAGTCGTGACAGAGGGGGAAAACATGAAATGAGATAATGATGAGAGCTGTGCACTCACACATCTCTGAAGTGCTCTATTCCACATCAGGAAACCAATATCAGAGAAAACACTGATATTGCAGAAGTGAGTTAAGCTGAAGCATTTTAATTAGATCTACTGGGGAAAGGAAGGATGTCTTTTATTAAAGACGTGTCAGAGAGGACTTGTTAGGCTGTTGGAATTGAGTGAGTCATGACCGGTCGAAGCATTGGCAGGCACAGAATATAAATCACCAGGACCTCTGAACACGTCCATACAAGGACACACTCTTAGTGGAATCACAGCCTCTTTTGCTCACTTTGAAAGGGGAAGACCAGTGTCTGATCATCAGTCACAACTTGTGTGATGAGTGCATGCCATTAATAGCAACCTGCATTTCTAAATATTCTGTCACACCACTGAGCTGGCCAAAGTATATGTTTAGAGCCTTTAGTACCATTTACTGTACGGTTGATTATTTTGGGAAAATATTCGTATCTATTTTGAAAAATATATTATAAAAAACGTGATTGTGTTTTGTTTGGTCTGTTCATTTAATTGTGTAGGCTGGGACATCTCTGCAGCACAACCATACTTATTTTTTATTTTATTTTTTTATGGTATTTTGGCACAACAATTGTGCGCCTTTCATAAAATTCAGATTCATTGATTAGCCCTTGACATTTTTTTTTTTTAAATGTTGAATTGATTATTGGCCAATGTTATTATGGCACAAGCAGGCGTATCCACACATGGTGTTGTTAAAGTCTGCCCTTTCCAAGTGCAAATGTCGGTAACTGTGACCAAAATCTTATTGGAATCTTGTTGGCATAACAACACATGGAACAAACTTGACATGTAAAGATGAAACATTTTGAACAAAACAATGCACTGGTTTTAAGTGTTGTTTCAGTGTTATTCGGACCATATTAGATCAATCATATTTGTGTTTTAAAGGAAATAAGAGTACTGCTTTAAAAAAGACAAAAAAATTACTTGTTGCGAAGCAGTCAGTGTGGTTTTTCTTTCCGTTTCATTTGGTTGTGTTTCTCGACTTTTTGGTCCTTTAATTCTAAAATCAAATGTATTTTCCATGGTGCTTGTGTAGCTTACTCGGAACATTTGTAATATTTAAGACTGCAGTATATTGAGAAATACACATATTCACATATTGCATTAGCTCCGTTGACTGTCATATTAATGTTCATTTTATTTGACAATTCTGTAATAGTAATCATATATTGTATAGAATAATAAATGCTAACCTCATTCCTTGTTGTCCTCTCTCTGCCTGTCCCCTCAGAGCGCTGTCTAGAAGACCACGAGCTGGTGGTTCAGGTCCAGGCCTCTATGAACAGCGACAGTAGATTCCTCTTCAGGAAGAACTATGCCAAATATGAATTCTTCAGAAACCCCCTGGTAAATTCCTTTTTTTAAAACATTTCTTATCATGTTGTGTCACTTTCAGTGTTGTCTTTTTGATATAAGTTAAACCAATACCCCTAAAATTTAAATTAAAAAAAATGCAGCTATTCGTGGACTGTGTCTTTGCATTTTTGTCATTTTTTTAAAGATTCAAGTAAGGAGTTTACTCGTGTAATTTGCTCTAAAGAGTGGCCTTTCGGAAATGAAAGACATTTCGTTGGACAGAGTGTCTCACTTGGTTTTGGGATCTTGTGAAATATTATGACAGCTGACCGTACTAATGAGATTTGCGCAACGTTTTCTTCCCCCTCACAAATTCCTACCTAATAATTAACCTATAATTAATATTGTCACAGTCACTAATATTCTCCGTCTGTCTGTCTCCATCTCTCTCGTCTTTCTTCTTCCCCCAGACATTTTTCCCTGAGCAAATGGTTGCATGGTGCCAGGAAACCAACCGTACGATTCCACCATCTCAGCTCCTCCAGGTATGAGCAGCACACGCACGTTTCCCTCTCTGTCACTCTCTAAGTCTCTCTCCTCCTCCTGACACGCACAAAGCTTACTTTACCTCCGAGTCAGCACCCGCTGCATACTGTACAATCAGGCTGACATACCTCACCTCTGACCCTGAGACAGGGTGTCTCGTCAGAGCCTGCAGTAATAACTACCGTTGATCCCCTGTTGACACACGGCTGTCTCTGCACACGCACCGCAGTCCTCACACTTGCGATGGATGGAATTAGGCAGTCAGAAATAGAACATACAGTTCCTTCATGTACCCACCATATGTTTGCACAGCACAAATTCACACCTGTGTGTCTTAATGCTTCTTATCACAGACCACTCATGAGCCATCCACTGCTTTCACAAAAGAGATGAAGAAAAGTCTGGGAGGAGACCAGACAAAAAGATTCTCGGGATTTTGAAGAGCTTTGTTCTTAATGGACGGAGGGTTTACATGCAGTCTGGCTCTCTCCTGTGTCTAGTAATGGAGCTGTCAGAGACAGAACCACAAGTGGAATCCATCCCTTCATCCTTGCCACTCACAGAAAGCTTTTAAGTCCCCTGCTGATCATACATACGTTATGCTCTACATAGAGGAGTCAATAAATGAATGGGGAATGTGTTGAGCCTGAGTTGTGCAGGAATCCCCAGTGTTTGACTTATTCTAAACACAAGATCTTTGCACTCAATTGGAGTGCTGTCCAAACCGAGAGGGTTCTGACCCGAGCTCAACCAGGTGTTAGCAATATTTGCCATTTATGCAAGAAACACCTGTCAACGCAAAGCAGAAGGCTGTAGAACCTCAAAAAGAAAGCGGTTTGAATGAACGTCGCGTGTGAGCGTGCGCTCCGAAAAGCTCAGAACCTGCTCATGCATGAGGCCCACTGTGGGGTGTTTCCAAAACACTGGGGAACATGTGCTTTAAATACTGAGTCCTCTGGAGCAGTTTGCCTTCAAGCCACAAGCCACAGATTCCAAATCACCTCAAATAGCTCAACCTGCCACTCTATGGTGTGATATTTTAGTGAAAAATAGAAACCACAATTCAAAGTATTTCATACACCTACTCGACAATTTACGCTTAAGGGGTTTCCAATCGGAATTGGGACACTTTGTCTTTAGTTTTTAAAATAGAAACTATGATTGTTTGCTGCTTAAACTATATACTAAGTTGTGTATGTATACACACATGCCAAAGTCAAGATCCTGTCTGCCTTCCTCTGCCCTCTTCAAGACTCTACACCCTAAGATTGTTCAGACAACAGCAAAATGTCTTGCCTCATAGTGGTTGCTACCGTTCTGTGTAAGCACTCAAGCAGCCGCCCATCTCGACCATCATCTGTCAGTTTTGCACTGATGCAAGGAGCCCAAATGACACTGTGTTCTTTGACCAAAAGCAATTGCCTTCCATCTGTGATGCCTCTACAGATGGTGTCCGCTACAGCTGATAGTATCTGAGAGTGTGACAGGGACACAGAGCTTATAGGCTTCAGATGTGATCCAACATTGCCCTCCGGAGGCTGAGGGCCCTTGATGGAGGACATTATAGAGAGAATACATAGTCCAACATGTCCAACACATTGATTCAGCTTTTGTCCAAAATATATATAACACAATCATATTTTCCAAATGTGTATATACTGTAGATCAGGGGTCGGCAACCTTTTTGATATGAAGTGCCATTCTAAAAAAAAATGTTTATCAGCGTGGGGGGGGTGTTGAAGAGCTCGACGAAAAGTGATGTTTAAAACTCAGTTAATGGGGCTCATTCACTGGCGCTTCCACAAACAGCAACCAACATAATTGTTACATTCAAATGAAGTAGCCTACATTATTCAAGTTTACATTAACTTTGGATAATAAAACGGGAACGCTCTCTTTTCCTCTCTCCCCCTCTCTCTCTCTCTGTCCTGACAGCCTGCCAGTATCTCAAGCAGCTCACTGATCCAGTAATGAGTGACAGTGAAGAATAAATATATTTATAACTAGTTCCAAAGGTAGATCAAATAGCTAAGTGTGTTAGGTCTAACTCTTGTGTGTTCTGCTCCGCTCACCGGTCCGTCACAGCGGGCAGAGCTGCAGGATTTCTGCTTCACACACGCTGCATACCGCTATTTTATTGTCTTTTTCTGACACCTTAAAATACTGCAAGACTGGTGAAGCGATTTTGGCGAGCTTGTTTTGCCGCACACAGAGAAAAGTGTCATGTATGTTACGTCTCGCAATCGGCCTTTTTGAGTGGGGCTGCGTTGCGTGCATGGCTTCCTTCTGCAGGTAACGGGGAGACGCGCTCTGGCGGCGGTCTCGTTCAGGATCCTAAAATAAATATTTTGTACACTTATTCCACTTATTCCTAGTGTGCCACTGGTTACGGTGCCGCGTGCCGTTGGTGGCACGCGTGCCAGGGGTTGCCGACCCCTGCTGTAGATGCATGTTGTAATCATTATTCCCTTCCTTTCCTCCCTCAGAACTTCCTAGCGACCAGTAGCTGTCCAGAGATCCAGGGGTATCTGTATGTGAAGGAGGTGGGAAGGAAGTCGTGGAAGAAAGTTTACATATTCCTTCGGCGCTCGGGACTCTACTGCTCGACAAAAGGAACCTCAAAGGTAACAGAAACTCAAAATCAGAATATTTTTCCGTGTCATTTTTTTAGCATGTTCTTTTTTTTTTACTTTGTAACTACAGTCTTAACCTATCAGAAAATAATTGCAAAGCGTAACATTTAAATGTTAAAGTTTCAACAGCATAAATATGTGAAATGTTATAACCTTTAAATCCGCCTTTTATCGATGGAGGTCCCTGTTCTGGTCTGTGTCTCTCTGTCACCTCCTGACTTATTCATTATTTCTGTCTCCAGGAGCCCAGACATCTACAGTTTCTAGCAGACCTTGACGACAGTAACATCTTCACTGTCACCACAGGCAAAAAGCAGCACGGAGCACCGTCAGACTACGGCTTCTGTATCAGGGTGAGTGACATAAAGCTGATGTCCAATTAAATGTTATGGGGTGAGGAATGATTGACATCCTGTGCTGCTGCCCCTGAATTTGTTACATTTGTATTATTGTTGGGGTGCTGGTAGTGATTATTATGAATGATCTGTGTTCTCATTCCGTCAAATGTTAACTTACAGCCCAATAAATGTCGAGGGGAGCTCAAGGAGTTGAGGATGCTGTGTGCGGACGATGAACAGGGCAGGACGTGTTGGATGATGGCCTTCCGGCTCTTTAAGGTAACGCCATAATAAATGTCCTATATAACAACGTTTTTGATTAAGTGTACCCCACAGTCATTAAGAATTGTGATAGTCTTGCTTAACCAGCTCTCTCCTTTCCTTTACAGTATGGAATTCTGTTGTACCAGAACTACAAGATTCCCCAACAAAGGAAAACATTACTTTCACACTTCTCGGCACCTGTGGTAAGTTTACTGATCAACTTTGCTTTTACTAACTCCCAGATTTCTGAAATAAGCAAAACATTCATTGTACGTGAATACTATTGTTATGCAGGCACTAGGAACAGCTCTAGATATTTGGCTGACAATTTAAAGAAAAATTGAAACTTTTTTGCTCTGCCTGTGTTTGCAGTTGTACATCGCTGCACTTATCTCCCTGCCTTTGTATCCAACATTTGACTGTTGAACTCTGTCTCCCCCTAGCGGAGTGTATCGGAAAACTCCCTTGTGGCCATGGATTTCTCAGGGAGGATAGGCAGGGTGATTGACAACCCTGTAGAAGCTCAGAGCGCTGCCATGGAGGAGGGACATGCATGGAGGGTGAGACACAGCTTCTGTTCAAATGGAGCCAACCTTTTAATGGTCACTACAGATGACACCTTTTCTTTTTGCTTAACTATTCATACAGGTTTAGTTTTCCTCTGGTTGTAGGTGTTGACTTTTTTGTGTCCATAAGATATTTGACTTTTTATATAATATCAAGAACACCAGATCATGAACTCATCCCAGTTGTTTTGTCTGTTTGTGGCATCTCTCTCAGAAGAGGAGTCAACGAATGAACGTATTAGGCTCCCACAGTCCTCTACACCACTCCTCACTAAGCTCAGGTAAACGCAAAAGCATTTACAAAATGCTTGATCTTGTTCTTTACACATTTTCTGTCGGTTAAAGCGTATTTAGAAAGTATTTTAAATACATGTTTTCCATTATTCTCTGCAGTCATCCACATAGCTCAGTTGTGGTTCCACGGCAGGATAACCAGAGAAGAATCGCATCGCATTATCCACCAGCAGGGACAAGTCGATGGGTAAGGGATCTGGAGCTAAAACAGATTTGACACACTTTTCCTATTAACTGAATCTGAAAAAAAAAACCTTACTGGAGAGTTATTATTTATATTTTTCCTAACTTAAAATCAAGTCGGTGGATCCTTCTCACAGTGTCTTCCTTTCTCTTGTTTCACAGGTTGTTTCTGCTCAGAGTCAGTCAGAGTAATCCCAAGGCGTTTGTGCTCACGTTGTGCCATCACCAGAAAATCAAACATTTCCAGATACTACCGGTATGCATTGCTTGGTTTTTGATTTCCTTTTTCTTTTAATAAATAATGGTCCTTGAACAGTGAATGTTTGTTATTGTGAGAACCTTTTTAGGTATTAATACATCTTGAGACAAGTGAATTTAAAATAGAAGCAACCGAGACTTTGACGGTTGTGCTGATCAAAATGATTTTTGTTAAAAGGTATAATAATCTTGCATCTGTTAGCCCATTAACCTAACGTTATAGTGGACAGATCTTTTTTGTGAGCTATGTCCGTCAAAAATGGCAAACCTTCAAAAGGAGGATATTGTGAATTTGGTCTAACTTGAATAAATAAGGTTGCTTGTATCCAGGATCTACAATGTAGGAAATCAATATTAAAATATATATATATATATATTTAAATTCAATACTTGTATATTTCAATACTTGATTTGTTGCCAATGAGTCGGATAATGTAAACGCATTGTTATAGTCCTTTTAAAAAGACTTATATTCTCTTTCTGTTTCTTTGGTGTGTCCCTGCTTGCAGTGTGAAGAGGACGGCCAAATCTTCTTCAGCCTTGACGACGGCTCCACCAAATTCACCGACCTGATTCAGCTGGTGGAGTTCTACCAGCTCAACAGAGGAGTGCTGCCTTGTAAACTCAGACACCCGTGCACCTTCGTGGCCTTATGACATCGTCAGATCACCTGACCCCCGTCACTTGACCTGACTCTGCCTAAAACAACAACACAAATCTTCCTGTTGGCGTTTCGTTTTTTTATCTCTTCAAGAAGCTGGTGAATTGACTGATGTTCCGCTGTCATTTTGATCTGTTGTGAGTCCTCTGAAGACTGCTGAATTGTTGGAATCCTTTTGCATGAATGTTGGAGGAGTCGGACTGACAGATTGCTCACAAGGTTCCTCGAGAAGAGAAGAGAACAGATAAAGGAAATGAACACTGCCCTTTGTGTCAATGCTCTTGCAAATTCTTCTACAATCTTGCTACCCATAGTCATCAATAAGCTTGGACACACAGTGAAACTCAATGTTTATCTTCACAAAGTGTAGACTGTGTTTCCTTTCAACTGAACAATCAGCAGGACCACCCTCTGCTCTCCGAGAACAGACTGTAATCGCATTCAAGTCTTCATCACACGTCCTCAAAACATAAACTGTTGATGGAGAGTTGATTTCTCTTTAGTTTTGCACTCATGGAACTGGGAGTTGCCTTTGACGGTGCATGACTTCTCAGCTGTCTTAACTGTGAGATGGTTCCACCGCCCTCTAGTGTCATAGGCATGCAAGGACATGTCAAAATTCAACATCGACGATATTTAGAAGCCCCAGAAAGAGACACAGAAGTTTGTCAAAGTCAAACTAGCTGGAGGAAAAATCTGGAACTGTTGAAACATTAATTTTTATTTGTGGACAACACAAAACCTGCATCGCGGCCCTCACAGAAATGCTCATCTCTCAGCACACAGGGTTTATTTTCTTATTGATACATTCATTGTTTTGTAATTGCCCCTTTTGCATTCTGGATATTTGCAACTCTTCATTATTTGCGTGCTCCATTTCCCTAAAGTATGTCCGATGTAACTTCCACAAAAATAGAAAAACATTTATCGAAGGGTGAAAAAACAAGTAATAACGTTAGAGGATGTTTATAGCCATGTAGACAGATGTGTTGCGTGGAAGGTTGGAAAGTGAATCAGGTATTTATTTGGTGGGAAATGTGTACGTGCAGTAGTTGACTGCAGGAAAAGGCATGGTGAGAGTATCAATATGTTATTCAATTCTCCTGCACAGGGGAGAATAACCACTAGCATTTCCCTCAGGTGTTTTTCAAGGAAACAAAATAATTAGATCAGATCTGGTTTGTCCTGTCCTTGTTTCAAATGTTGTCCCACAAATGTACCTCCTGGGAGTTGTGAGATAGAGTTAGATATACATGGTTAAGTGTGACTGTTCATTACATTACATATAATGCGGCCTTGGTCTGCCTGGCAGTACCTGTGTGTACTGACACATCACATATAAGCCTCTTGCCCTCAGCACGCCACCTCTTAATGAAATCAGGCAGAATGTTTTAGAAAGTAAGCTAAAGGTTTGGGAAAAATATGTAATAAGAGAAGCGTATAGAAAAGATATCTGCCTCTCCCTAGTCATCTCGTTCTTTCCTCAGCCTGTCTAACCTGGTGTCATCACACTCTCATCGGCATGCTGTGAAAATGGACCTCTGGTACATGATGTGTTTTTGGCAAAACTCTTACTGAGTTAGGTTGAGGATGACAGGAGTAAATAGCCTCAGTTATTGGAAGTATTTTGATGATATTCCTACTCAAAGTCTGTCACAATTCGGTTCATAGTCACTGTCTTTTAAAGTTGCACCACACACTTTTAATCTCAATCTGGGATATTTCTAGAAACTCACATTTTAATTTGTATGTAGTCAAAACGTTGGTGTCAGCTGTGGTTTGGCCACCAGCCAGCAGACCGTTAGATATCCGTTTTTACGTACCTGTAATGCAAACTCAACAGCCATGATTTATTGACCTGCAGGTTATCTCAAGGTTTATTGGTCTTCTGTGATGCAGAATAGCCTCACCATATTGACTCTGTGCATGGTCACCATTATTTATCTAAGATGCAATGACTCAATCATTTTTTTTAAGTATTGTTGCAGAAAAATTTATTTATTTATCTCCATGTGACTGATTACTTGAAATTTTTAGATTTCTTTTTTTTCTCTGCGCTGTTCTGTACTGTTTTCTATTGTCATTACCATGAAATGATTGACCAGTGTGATATATAATTGTTATTATTGTAATGAAATAGCATCTATTGTTTTTTGTTTTTGTTTTGGTTCATTCAAAAACTATTTTTTCATCATAAATACTTGATGTTTAAAAGCACACTGGCATCCATAGTTTTAACATCATTCCAATAGATGTCAAGTGGAATGTTGTTAAACTGAAAAGTTTCCCAAAGCATGAACAATATTGTATTTCCTGCTTTTCTCATTTCTCTCAGACCTTTAAAATATCTTCTGTTAAAATGTTTAACCCCTTTACTTTAAAAAGCCTCAAGTGCTCTCATCGTCACTCGATTGTGGTGACCTAAACTAGAACAATAGTAATTATTTAAAGTAGTGAAGTCACAAATATTTTGGGAAACTAGGTCAATCAACATTCTCATAATGCACTGTTTAAACCACTTGCCTTGACAAAAGATTTGTAGAAATTTAGATTTAGAAAAAAAGCCCTTTACTTTCAATTTAAGTTCGATTAGATTAGATATAATTAAAGAAATGCATAACAGCAGTCCCTACTCACCTATGGGCGCAGTAAGGCATAGTCACTATTTTAATCCCCTTAAAACTGCAATGAACAGGAAGTGGATGCTCCACACCGATAAATCAAACCACACCAGAGCACCGCTGTCAACCTTCTTTCAGCAGAATGAAGCATCTTAATCTGCTATATAGGTTTTATCATTTGCATGAATGTGGATTTTGAGGGTTTTTTATGTACATATAATGTCACTGATTTGTTGATATTTTTTAAGAATCTGAACAACATAATAATACATAAATAATTATGTAGTCTAATATCCCCTAAGATTTGATTCAGTCTGCCCAATCATCTTTAAAGTCCCAATATGTTATTATTCCTGAATGACGTGAATGGTAGCAGATGTCAACCTGTGAGGGAAAGGTAGCGTTTTTAGGATGAGTGAGTATTTGCATATCCACTTACTCTGAATGAAAAAGACGGACAGTAACTTCAATTCGAACACGTACAAAAAAACCTCCACGTTTTTATACTTAACAGAAATGAATGTAACTGGGTTGCTCAGGGTTGACTTGGAGCGTGTTAAAACTACTGGTCCATCAGTTTTTTTGGACTGTTGTGTACAAGATGATGAGGGATTTATAATTACCTTAGGTTTGGTAAACTCTGTGGTCACAACATACTTTTCTTTCATTAAGTGCACCACCATTCTGCTAGTTGTGAATACTTGAAAAATATCCTTGCAGAAAATGGAGTAAATCCAGTGCTATTTAAAAAGGACACTTGACAGCGTTGTTCATTTTATTGTTTAGGCTGTTTATAAAAAAAGAGCCTACAATACTTGCCTGGTTACCTGAGCTGATTTAAACCCTATCTCTAACATTTTTGGCAATTTAACCACAGTTATCATATGGCAACAACAGGTGACCTATTCATTGAGAAATCTTCATATTTCAATTAAATCAGGCGAAATTGTAATGTTATCTGATCGATTTAATCATGCAAAAAATGTAAATACAATTCCTAATAGAGAAGGGCAAAATCAGTTCTGGTTGCCAGGTAACACAACGATGGTGCCTCTGATGACTCTGTGGACCAAAAGACACAAAGCTAGTTGATAAATACAACTCAAACACAGAGAAAACGTGTTTGAGTTGTATTTAACTCAAAATACAAATACATCCCCCTTATGGTTTCAGTTTATTTTTGGAGTTGGAAGTGAATTAGCCCCGATCCTGCAAAAGTGGATTCATCAATTATCATCTCAACTCATGCATTTTCACTATGTTGTCACATTGCAAGATACTGTGGCTGTACAAATGAGTAAAGAAAAAATATATCTATATATGAAAATATAAACTATTATGTATTTCAGGGAATGCAAAAAAGAAAACGGTAACTTATCTCGTTTTTTCAGAGAGAGCTCCTGTATTCGAAATGTGCTTTGCTTAATTCTGTAAATAGTTGAATGGCTTATACATTTTAATTGTAACCTTTTCAGGTATTTTTGTACAAATAAGGGACTGATATATTCTGTTTATTGTAATTAGAATAAAACATTAATACATTGATATAAAAACCTCAACTCTGTTTGTCTTTATTAATGGAACGTTATTATGCGACATTTGCTAACTAAAGGATGTAGCACTGCTGAATCAGATTTATTTATTAGATCTGCACAGTGTTGTATAAACCGTACTGCATGTGCACTGGTTTTGATAATCATTGTTTTTTCAGATTTAGGTGTGCTTAGAATCTGAGGTGTTATTTTAGGTAAAATACCCATAAGGTCTAATGTTTCAATCTGTCTATTGATTTAAATGAGGATATTTGCTTTGCATGTACAATACAGATGCCTTTGTTTAAAACACCTGTCAACAGTGATGGTGTATCTATTTGCTTATTGGTCCTAAAACAAACACAGGTTAACTGTGATGCACTGACATCGTTCAGAGTGAACCACTGACCACTAGGAGGCGCTCCTAAACAAACTTTTATCTTTTACTTGATATATCACATGAATAATATATGTGAGTCTTTATTTAAGTAGATACTTTCTAACATGGTTTTATTTTCAAAGACATTCTGTGTAAAACTAATTGAAAATAAAGCTGCAAGCAGCGTTGAGCGGGTCTTCGACGCTCCGCAGGCTGTTGTCCGCACGTCGAGGTGTGTGTGTAGGTGTCTCGAGGACTCGGCCATTGGCAAACGTGGGAAGTTTCAGGCCGATCGGACAATGTATTTAGGAGTTATGAGAAAACCGTGTTTCACGGCGACCATTTTGTTACCATGGCAACGGCATTTGACGAAATCTCAAAACTGACACATATATGTCTTAAGGGCTGTACTGTTAGCACACATGTAAAGTTTGAACACTTTTTTATCATTTACACAGGAGTTATAGCAATATCGTGCTTAACGGCGAGGGATACATTGCCATGGCAACAGCTTTTGAGGAAAACTCACTTTTGTCATATTGAGGTGTTGAGGGCCGGACCATTAACTGTCATCTGAAGTCTGGTGCAGTTTGGACCATTTTCCATTGACTTAAGACAACATTGTGTTTTACGGCGAGGGATGCGTTGCCATGGAAACGGCATATGATGACATCCCATAATTGGCGTAGAGCTGTTGAAGCATGGACCGGTGATATAAAAGTGAAGATTGGGGGACGATGGGACCGTGTCCATTGGAGTTACAGCGACACCGTGTTTTATGGCGAGGGATGCGTTGCCATGGTAACGCCATATTAAGTAACATCACATTTGACGTAGAGCTGTTCAGGGCCGCAGTGTTAACCATCACGTGAAGTTTGGTGGCGTTCTGAGTATGTCAGTTGGCGTTATGACATCATCGTGTTCCATGGCGAGGGATCGCCTAGCATCGAGCGAACGCGAACTTTGGCGCCAAATCACAGCTACGCCGTGCGAAAGAAAAAAACTTCCGTGATAACTTTGAATTGCCCATGTCTCGAGACGCTACCCGACGAATTTCGAGTCGTACGGATAAAGTCCCTGGGAGAAGATAGATTTCGTGCGGAGGACGAAAAACGCGACCATTTTGTTACCATGGCAACGGCATTTGACGAAATCTCAAAACTGACACATATATGTCTTTAGGGCTGTACCGTTAGCACACATGTAAAGTTTGAACACTTTTTTACCATTTACACAGGAGTTATAGCAATATCATGCTTAACGGCGAGGGATGCGTTGCCATGGCAACAGCTTTAGAGGAAAACTCACTATTGTCATATTGAGGTGTTGAGGGCCGGACTAGTAGCTATCATCTGAAGTCTGGTGCAGTTTGGATCATTTTCCATTGACTTAAGACCAGTGGCGTCGCCTGGCCTGGGCATCCGGGGCTTTAGCCCCGAATGTTTTTTCTCTAGCCCCGGACAATTCTCCCTCAATAATATAATACATTAACCGTGCTTTACGTGAACCTCATCATGACACAAGAGAGGACGGCAGCACTGTAATTTCCCGTGTTCAGTGAATGCAACAGAGGCATGACACCAGACCAATCAGAGAGTTGCATGGAAATAAACGTGTGCTTGTGTCATTCAAGCTCGGCTCTGTGTGTGTGTGGCAATAGCGCATTTAGTGTGAGAGAGAGAGAGAGAGGGAGAGAGGGGGAGGGAGGGACCGGTGCCAGCATGGACCGTGTTGTTAGCATCTGGTTTGCTAGCTGCACTAATGGACATAAGGAGCTGTTTGTTCCACAAGAAGCTGGAGGAGAGTCCTCTCCTCTCAGACTGAGAGACTCAGGTGAGCTAAAGGACTCTCTGAGTGTTTAGATACATAACTTTAGTCTAAGTTATCTCAGTGGGTCTCAAACGGTTTGGTCACAAATTATTCAAAAGATTATTTCCGCGGCACACCTTCATATGATCATTATAGTTATAAAAAAAATAAGAGAATAAAGGAAAAACAGTTATGAAATACTATATGGCAGTAAAACAAGAATAGAGTTTAAAAGGGGAGTGATTAGTAAAATATCCATAAAGAAAAAGTACATCTGTTTACAGTTCTGCTTCATATGGGTGCTGAGAGAGGTATCCATAGATCTCTTCATTTTGCTCTCAAAGTGCACCAGATTGATGCATTTAACTTCAATATTTAAAAAAAAATCTTCCCAGGGGAGCATCCCCCCCGGACCCCCCTAGAGGAGGTGAGCCCCCCACTCATAAAAAATACCACTTTACCCCTGCCTATATGCCGTGAGCTGATTATCGAGCCTTCATTGTAACAGTCGCGGGTGTACTGTGCGTGTGGGGAGTGTTGCAGTAGAATATTCCACTGTAGTGCTGCCGCCACTGTGGGCTAAGCCCCGAATGTTTTCAGGTCCAGGCGACGCACCTGCTTAAGACAACATTGTGTTTTTTGGCGAGGGATGCGTTGCCATGGAAACGGCATATGATGACATCCCATAATTGGCGTAGAGCTGTTGAGGGCCGGACCATTAGCCATCATCTGATGTCTGGTGCCGTTTGGACGTTTTTCCAGTGAGTTAGGACAACACAGTGTTTCATGGCGAGGGATCTGTCGCCATGG